CACCCATTCTTTTGAAAAATGAGTTTTTGAATAGTGATTGATATAAAGAATGTGTGGTTAAAAAGTAAGAAGAATTTTTGGGTTTATGTGTAATATTATTTTATTTGGAGAATGTGTGGTTAAAAATGAGTACCGTAGAAAAATGAGAATGAGAAAATGGGTGTCAAACAGGGGCTAAATTATTAATAAGTGAAATTGTATTTATAGTTTGTGTGAAATGTAAAAGTGTTAGCATCTTTGTTGTATTTACATTTTGTGAATTAATGGGCACAAGAAAAAAGCATAAGAACAAACAAATAGTAATGCTTTTGTCATTAAGGTGATTGTTCAGCTGAAAGGAGTATTGCCCACTTACCCTCCACGAACCATTGATAAAGCGTTCTTTTGACCCAATAGAAGTAGAATGCATTAAAATCAACCTACATCAGCTTAATGAAAATTTAACTTCTACTGTATGCTTGATATTAAATGTCAAAAGCCATAAAGTAGGAAAGTTATACACTGCTAATATAAAGGAAAAAAAGGTAAAACAAATTTTTTTAAAAGTCTCCGCGTGCGGGGAGGCCCAGATCCTCCGCATGCGGAGGTTGGGACCTCCGTACACAGAGGCCCAGAGCCTCCGCATGCGGAGGTTTGGGACTCCGCACACGGAGGCTTTGCCCTCCGCGAGGTTTGGCCTGTAATGAATGTTGTCAGGAATTCGACTAACGTAATCGAAAGAACAAAATAAAATAGCAGAAAATGAAAGAAATAAGATGAAGCGAGGTATGCCAAAGCAAATTTCCTTAAGACAGATTTCGCCCCCAACAATGTGTAAACGGGATTATGGACGCCTGTCTACCAAGATACAACGCTTCTTCCAAAGTCGATACTGCACAATACCAACCTTGTCGGTCAAACCAAGAAATGATCGTACTCGAACGGAATAATCACGAAGATATATGAAAGAACAGAATATAGAGAGAGAGAGAGAGGGGGGGAGGGGGGAGAGAGAGAGAGAGAGAATATTTAGAAATCAATAGAATTTAATTGATTTGGTGTACAAAAAA